TAGTCACAGAATTGTGCAACCATCACCACAATCAATTTTGGAACAGTTTCATCACCCCCAAAAGAATCCCCGTGCCCATTAACAGTCACTCCCCATTTCCTACCAACCTCCCCAGTCCTAGGCAATCACTAATCCACTTTCTGTCTCTATAGATTTGCCTATTCTGGACATTTCATATAAGTGGAATCACACAATGTATGAGCTTTTATGATGGGCTTTTTTCACTTAGTGTAATGTTTTCAAGAAAGCTTTGTCAATGCTGTAGCATGGATCAGTACTTCCTTGCTTTTTTTGGTTGAATAATATTCTGTTGTGTGAATATGCCAAATTTTATTTTTATCCATTCATCAGTTGATATTTGTTTCCACTTCTTTGCTAGAATGAATAATGCTATGCGCACTTGTGTACAAGTTTTTGTGTGAACATATTTTCAATCCTCTAGGGTATGTATCCTAGGAACAGAATTGCTGTGTAATATGATAACTCCATGTTTGATATTTTGTGGAACGGCCAAACTTTTCCGAAGTGGCTGCACTATTTTACATTCCCACTAGCAATGTATGAGGGTTCCAACTTCTTCACATTTCATGCGAACACTTGTTATTATGTCTTTTTGATTGTAGCCATCCTAGTGGGTATAAAGTGGTATCTCGTTGTGGTTTTGATTTGCATCTCCCTAATAGTTAAACGCCTTTCATGTGTTTAGTAGCTATTTGTATAATTTCTTTGGAGAAATGTCTGTCCAAATCTATTTTTCAATTGGGTTGAGTTAGAAGAGTTCTTTATATATTCTGGCTACAGGTCCCTTTATCATATATATGATTTGCAAATATTTTCTCCCATTCTATCAGTTGTCTTTTATTTTCTTGATAGTGTCCTTTAAAACACAAAAGTTTTTAATTTTGATGATGTCCAACTTAACTTTTTTTTTTTTGTCATTTGCCTTTTCTAACATTAATCCTTTCCCCAAGTAGGAGATTTTTACAGTAGGCAGTATATGAAATCAGTTTCTTTACTAGAAAGCTAACTGAACTTAGAAATACACTTACTAGGGGCTTCCCTGGTGGCACAGTGGTTAAGAATCCACCTGCCAATGCAGGGGACACGGGTGTGATCCCTGGTCCGGGAAGATCCTACATGCTGCGGAGCAACAAAGCCTGTGCACCACAACTACTGAGCCTGTGCCCTAGAGCCCGCGAGCCACAACTACTGAGCTGGCGTGCCACACCTACTGAAGCCTGTGCGCCTAGAGTTGTATTAAATGTACTCTCAATTAGCAAAACAGGTCTGAGAAGTTGCTGGATGGCCGAGCTTGTGTCATTGGAAACTATTTTATCCACATCTTCATTTAAAGAATTTTTTTTCTCAACATCTGATCTCCAATTTATATTAGAAAAATACTCTGTGGACTGTGGTCACTACTAATAACACTTCTTATTGTTGGGAAAGCTCTTGTGAAACATTTGTCAAGCACATAAAATGGTATAAAAGTGAAATACAGTAATTAAAATGTGTGTTCTATCGATTGTGTAAGCTAAAGTAATTTTTCATTACTAACGTAAGATTTAATAAGTATAAGTAGTTAAAGATTCTGACTTGGCACTAGTCATTAGCATGTAATTGAACTAGTAAAAAAGATCAGTTAAAGCTGTGTTGATTACCACCTTATCTTTGAAAGGCAATTAAAGACCTCAATCATTGCAACAAGATTTGATTGTGCAGCCTTTATTGGACATTGATCTTTCAGCAAAGTGCAGTTACATTTTCCATTAATTTACAGTAACAGAGTTTAACGCTGATACCCTAGACTGTTGACCCAGGTGAGATGTAATGCTAAGTACTTGTTTAGGTTAAGATGCCCCCAAACGTCATTACTGTCTGAATGGTAAGTGCTGAAAAAAAGTAGATACCCGATCCACTAGCTTTAGGATAAGGTTTCTGTTATCTGCATTAGCTTTTAAATGAAATGAAACCCAGATCCTTGTCTTTAGGTCACTCCACTCATTCAAACAACATTCATTCTTTAATAGAATTAAGAGATATTTTGTGAAGAATTATAGATGATCTGTGATTATAATTTTGAGTGATATAAATATAAATGACAAAATAAAATGTACATTTTAAAAGGAATACACATGGCTTTTAATAATTGTTTCCATTTTTACTGGTCAATAAGCAAAATATTAGTGGCCAAATATGTATGATGAACGAACTTATAACTATTTGTACAATTTGGTATGTTAAGCCATTAGCACTGAGAAACTAGGGATTTTTTTTTTTTAATTAGCAACCTCTTTCTTGCTCCCAACTCTGTTACTGCATCTTTATGGTGGTTCACAACTTATACAGGAACTACGAATTTTGACTAGAAACTTCTTCCAACACTTGATAATTGATTTGTATAGAAATAACAATAGAAGAGATGCAAGATTTTAAACTAAAATAAAACTTCATCTTCATTCAAAAAATAGTTGCCTGGATTATTTTGAAGACTAAAAATCCCATTAAAGAAGTGTAGGCAGAAAAGCTGTCTGTTTCATCAACTAAGAAAACTCCTGCTATCCAGAAGGGCTGGGTCCACTTAGAACCCTCCTTGCCATCTCAGGCATAACCAGAATGCGCACAGGCACACTCCCACAAACTGCCTTCATTGTGTCTCCTCCTCCCTTCCTCTCACTTATTTAAAAAATCCTTTTATTGATGAAGTCTTTTAAACTTAAATATATATGGAACACAAGAATGAGGATTACAAAACCAGCTTTTCTGAAATTAAGGTAAAACGGACATTTGCTTACAAGCACATTCATTATACATTTTAAGGCAGAAAGGTTTCTTGTTTTGTCCTTCTTAGATTACAGGTGGAAAAAACTAAGATACAAAGGAGTAGTTATTAGCCTGAGGTCAAAAAGTAAGATAGCACTGTTGCTAAAAATAGAATCAATCTCCTGCCTCCAGCATTTATATTTTATCCTTTTTAGGCCACAATACTTTGATGTAATATCCAACTTTAAAGAAAAAACTTGAACCATTGCTGTTCAATGAGAAGAATTTTTTCAGACTAAACGGTTCACTACAAGACTTCATAAATCCAAGGAATGATATTTTAAATATTTGAACCATGCCCTTAGCCATTGTTGAGTTCATCCTTTACCATGATCAACTTCATGAGAGCAAGAGGTCTATTGATTTTCATGTAATACAAGAAAGTATTACATTTGCTTAATTGTTACACAGTGAGCACATCAGACAAGAAATCAAGGCTCTATTTAATGCTGCAAGCAGCAGAGAATTACAGAGATCAATAGGGTAGTTTGTCAAAGATGTTCTCCAAGGAGACTTACCTATCACCATATGAACAAGAAGTCACTCCGATTGTAGCTATTGAAAAACAGGTAAGCACAGTCAGCAGTACAAATTATCAGAAATCAAACAGGCCAGTGTGAAAAGAAGTGCAACTCTACTGAAAAGCTGTTATTTATGGTCTGATAAAAACCATTTTATCAGCCTTGTGTTGGGACCAAACCTTTACAGCAAGTATTGACAAGATCAGGAGCAATGAATGAGCAGTATTTGACTTAAAACTTATGAGCTATAGTTATTTAACTTTGCCCATTACAGAGGAAATCAGTTCTAGCCTTCCTTGCAAAATGCTGATAGTCAGTTTTATTATTAATGAAGCTTAATGTAACACTATCTCCTTTGTGTAAGCCATTCACTTAACTAGTGTCAAGTATATTCTTCTGGACTAAATATATTGGCATAAGTACTTCTTTGATTAAAAGGTTTAGAATTGCTGTTAGACAAGTGAACACTACATATATTTGAAGAACAGTTCACTCTGTAGCTCACTTAAAATGACTACCTTTAACGAAGCCAGTTTGTGTCACTTCATTATTCCAGTGCTTTCACCTCAATCACTTCCACTCACCTTCCCTACTGATTTGCCAGAAGTAGGCACGCAAACGTTGGTTAGATTGAATTCTATAAAATATTTTGCTACAAAACTGTGTAAACGTTGCAGAGCATCAGCAACACATTAACATAAAATGATATATAATGCATGTTTGTAATTATGGGAGAGATCATAAATCTTAAACACCCATTCGTTTAGAAATTAAATAGTTCTTAGTTCTCCCTAAATTTCTCCAAATTTCTGAAATTTACCATTCGTCTGGGTTTTCTGTAACTACCCCCAAGGATAAATTTTTTTTAATGACTTTGCTTTAAAAAATGCAATTAACTTAATAAAATTCTAATGCAAAACCGCCATCAGGTCTTTAAAATTTCAGCCCACTTTCCATCGCCAATAAGTCTATGGATGGATACGTACCATTTCAGCTAGCTGCTTTTTTAAACAGTTACCAAATTTATTTTTTCTGGGTCTTTCTAGATTTTAATTGTTCTTACAGCTTTATTGGCATGCCATTTTAACTTTTAATAAGTCTTAATTTCATTCTTCTTGCTGCATTTACATTACCTAGAGTTGTTATTACATTTTTTAAAAAGTAGTATGGTATTGGATTCTTTAGGTAATAAGAAGTTTCAACATTACACCCACACCTCTCATACAGGTAAATGGCACAAGGGCTGTAATACATTTCCATTTAAAATCCTGACAGTTGAATGGTTTAAATTTCAGATTGCAGTTAGAATTCTCATCAACTTTGGATTTGCCAATGATATTATCTCTATCATATATCCTAAAATTCTCTACTTCTTTTCCCAATGTTAAAGATTTTTTCCCCTTCCTTGTGGGGTATCTATATTTTCAAAGAGTTGATTTAAATTGTTAATACATAACTACAGAATCTATAAGTTACAATCATTTTTTATCTCTAGTTTAACCTAGTTATAGGAAAAAATTCATATAAGCGTTATGTGTTTGTAGTTCCCATTGGCTAAACAGAGTATGCAATATATAACAATGTATTAATATGAAAAGCTTTGCCTCTTGAGGGCAATGATTCATCTTAAAGAACCAGACACCGTAGAAAGAAAAAGGTGTTTGCAAAGTTTTATTTTAAAGGATCAAAAATAAATATTGCACATACACATGAGAAAATCTACTGATATTTTCATCCTCCAGTGCATACTTTCAGTACATGGCACCTTCATCTTCTTTATTTAGAAAATAAACTGTTATTGGTCCATAACTGGTGTGCACAGTCTCTGTGACTCTAGCAAATAACCAGGAGCCAAGTCCATACAATAAAGTTGGAATACCTAGAAAACAAATGAATATGTTACTTGTGAAATCAATACCTATTAATCATGTACTCATATATTTGTCATGGTATAAATCACATAGCACTCTTCAGCAACATCAAGAACTTATAAAGTTACAAAAATATGAGTATACACTGACTCAACCTAAAAGGTCAATTTCATCTATGTTTGTGGAACATAGTAACAATTGTGTAAGCCTAGAGATTTAAAAAACTATAGATAAAGCTGATGTAAACTGTAATTCAAAGTACTTTACAAACATTAATTCATTACCTCCAAATAATTATGAAGTAATTCTATATTCTTTTCACAAATAAGCAAACAGAGAAGTGTCATTAATTTAGTTGTAGATGCTCCTGATGATTGGCCTTGAGCTTAAATTACTAGGTCATCTTTATTGTGCTTTTAAGTTGGACAGTAATACCGATGGCTAAAATAATTTCTTCTACAACTTAAAAGAAACTGGGTCAAAAAGCTGTCTTCAAAATCTAAGGCAAAACCTAACTCTAAGGAAGATTTTAGTATAATAACAAACATGAGAAAGAAACAATCCCATTAATATTTTTACAACTGATTTGAAAATCTTGCTTCAACCTATTTGAAATAGGTATATAATAGACTGCAATAATATATTTCTTCTTTGGAATATTTCCATTTGTGATTAGTTGCCATTTGTGATACATGAAACTAAATATATACTAGCCAGAGATATGGATTAAGCACTCATATGCACATGACACTAAGCTGGACACAAAGCAAACTTTCACAATTCCTATTTTTTGTAAGACACTTATTTAATCCATGACTATTATTAACATATTAAAAAACATATGTATAAAACCACAGGCACATGAATCAATAACAAATATTGTATAGTCTGCACAAATATTATTGTTCCTGGGTATGAGCTGGACAGAAAATAACAATTTTAAAGGAGAGCTGTGCAACTGGAAAATCACTTTCTTTCTAGATAAGAGGGAAATCAACACATGCTCAGGACTAATCATATTGTTAAATTTTTTTCTTATTTTTCTGCAAGAGTATATTTGCTGTGTTATGTTCTTTTTGAGTGTATAAGTTCATTGGACTACTTTGTGCTTATTCCCTGAAGCTGAATTCCAGCCACTGTGATGCCAGAGATTAATCAGGAGAAGCATCACTAGTTGGCAATGAGAGAGGCAAAAATGCCCATTCAGACTGGCGCCTCTCTATTTTTAGGAATATACTGGGTCACAGCTTGTTACTTTCACAGGGTTCCCTGGAATTCCTATGCAACTTTTCACAGTATATTGCCTTCTTTGCCTTGGTAATACCTCCCCCCAAATCTCTAAATGCCTCAAGGGAACGTCACAAAAAATTCACAAAAACTAGCATCATAAAGCTATTTATAAATCATTCAACCAAAAGGAAAAAAAAAGGCAAGTAGGGCTTCCCTGGTGGCGCAGTGGTTGAGAGTCCGCCTGCCGATGCAGGGGACACGGGTTCGTGTCCCGGTCCGGGAAGATCCCACATGCCGCAGAGCGGCTGGGCCCGTGAGCCATGGCCATTGAGCCTGCGCGTCTGGAGCCTGTGCCCCGCAACGGGAGAGGCCACAGCTGTGAGAGGCCCGCGTACCGCAAAAAAAAAAAAAAAAAAAAAAAAAAAAAAAAGGCAAGTAGTGGTGTGGAGTGGGGGAGTGGACAAGAGAACAAGAACAGGGCAGGCAGAAGCAAGTGAAGAGTAGAGGGAGCAGCTGAAATAAAAAATAAATTTAAAATATGGTATCACAACTTCAAAAGCTGAAAACAGAGTGAGAAAGAAAAACAGGCTCTAGAAATAATTATAAATTTTCCAAATATACTGATAGTAAAATACATAAAATATGACTTTTAAACCAATGCTAAGGACTTACAGTTAAGAAATGGATGGTGACACCGAAAGTTTTGTTTTACAGTATTTATCACAGTTTTCAATTAAAATACTGATACTTTAAAAAAAATCACACAAATGGTCAATATTTTTTCAGCTAAAATGGAGGACTGATCAAGGATTACTAACTTAATAACTACATTATCTCTTATTAAGAAACAACTAGGAACCATTATCATTCATGCTATTTGATAGGGGGTGGAGATGTAATGTAGGAGTCAGAAATTCTCTAATTTTTTTTTTTTAATCCTGCAGTCTACTTATTTAATGCAGTCAGGCTAATACACTAAATGGGAAGATTAGCCACATATATAATTTACACACTAAAAAAACCCATAATTTTCTTTACAGCACAAATGCTGTAAAGTCTGTAAGGTTTGATGAAAAATTAAATTTTTTCCAGACTGTCTGAAACATATCATTACATCAAAATGAATGTGCAAGTCAGTTCTTTGCACAGTAATTCATTTTGAGTCAGCTGAACAGTAGGTAAACCACTGTCAAATTAAGCACTTTAAAAAAATTAGAACTTTGTAGCAAGTCTCCAATTACCCATTCATTTCAATGGTAAACTGCTTTTCTTAAATCTCAATCTACTTCCCAGCAGGATACCCAGACTAGTAAACCATCAGTAAAATGTCAGCTTCTATTGAAAGGAAGGCGGAAGAGAAAGGGAACAAATGGGTAAAAGAGAAAGGGAACCAATGGGTAAAAGAGAAATCTTTATTATTTACAAAATGGAAAAATGAACTACTTTGATAATTACTAATTTGAAAGGAAAGAAGAAGAATAAAATTCTAAGTATTTTTAAATAGAATATGTACTTGATGATCCAGAGGGGCAACTGCACAACATAGAATAGGAAAAAAATCCTATTATCTAATTCCCTACCCTAAGACAAAAATACAATATTAACATTATCAAATTGGTTAATACGCTTAAAATAAAAAGTCCAGAAAAAAATAACTCCCTTTATTAGTATAAGCTAATTTGTATTCAAGCATGCTTGTGCAGAAAGTTTTCCGTTTTAACTTAAAACTCTTATTCTCTTTTAAACAGAATTTTTAGAATTTTCAAAAGACCATTAAATCACTATTCAGCTTTCTCTTTCACATTAAAAAAAAACTACAGCTGCTGTTTCTTTCTTCAAAAGGTTTTACTACTTTTCTGTGTGAGAATGCTCTGGGCATCCTATTTTTCTTTGGATTTCTTTCTACCTAAAAAGAGAAGCCCCTAATCATTAAGCTGTTCTTAAAGTGTTAGGTTTTAAATGGTGAAAACTTTTTTAAAAAAGGCATTGGGCTCATGGTTTACCTATAACCCTCCAGTTATGCTTTTCCTAACCTATTACTCTACATTTGGGAAGAATGATTTTTTTTTTGATTCTAAAAATGCTAAAATAAACATATTCTTCTTGAATCTAGTCATCACTCCAGTCTCTCCAAATAACTTTGAATTGAATTTTCTGAGTCACTACACTCCTCAACTTCTCTGCATCAACCTCAAAATTAGTAGGCATGCTCTATATAGTTCATCAGCCAAATAACAAGACATATTTTTTAAAGGATTACACATTGCTGAATAATCTTCTCCTTAATGGACTGAACCCAAGACAGTCCCAGTGGAGCAATGGCTCCAAAATCCCATGACTGCCATATGGGAGTTATTATAAGCAAAAATACACCTACCATATTTAAATTTAAGAAACTATCAGGCTATATAGTAATAGTGCAGCTGCACAGGCGTTTAGCTTTAATTCTGGTTCAAAAAACTGGTTGGGTAACGTGGGTCAGCTTGTACATCTAGATTCTGAATTACTGAAATATGGATTAATTTGATATCAGCTATATGAATAGGTTCCAAACATCCTGAGGCCTATTTTTCACTGACCTAGAAAATATAAAAGATGCACTCATGTCAACGTTCACGTCTCTTCGGTCATTAACCAAAAGATAATAAACATCCAGCAAGAGTTAACACTCTCAGAGTTAGAATATTCCATGAAAACATACCAATATTAAAGAGGTAGTCTTTTAAATATCTTTTAGGCCTAGCATCTGAAGAAGCTAACATCACTGGTGAAAATCTTTAGTGCTTTTAGTAAAACAAACTTGCTGGGGTTTCATATAAAGAAAACAAAGAAACTTCAAAAACGTAGTTCCAGTTTTTATAATATGAACCACCCACAAAGTGGTGTTCATGGCAACGAATCCTGCCATGCAATTAGGCATTTTTTAAAAACTTAAGAGCCACTTTCCAGGGGCCTACACCCTCCTTCTCACTGCCCAATGTAGGGGTCCTTCTAGTTGAGTGCTGCAGGGTAGCGAGGATGGAATGCTCTCTCCCCGGGGTGATGCAGGGTGGTCCCTAAGTACAGGCATGTCGATAAGCCCCACTTTCCGGGGGACGATTCAGGAGCAACAACTTAGCCCTGACAGGCACCTGCCGGGCGGGGGAATACAGAAGCCCAGGGCCAGGGCCGGGGCTGGCAGGCTGCAGAGTGGGTGGGACGCACAGGCAGCGTCTGGGTAACGCCCCAGCACTGGGCAAAGCGTGGCGAGCGCGCGCGCCCGGGCGAACCTGCACGGGGCCGGGGCAGGGCTCCCAGGGCCGGCGCGGTCTGACCCTAGGGCCGGGGGCTCGGCCTCGGAGCCAGAGCGTTTGTCAGCGTGCTTTGCAAACAGTGGGGCCATCGTCGGCGCGACGTGCTTCATCGGCCCGGGCCACTCACCGAGGTTGATAACCTTGAGCGCCGTGAAGAACCGGTCCTGCCGGGCCAGGTCGTGCCAGGGGGCCTTGGAGCAGTGGTACTTGATGAAGGGGAAGCAGCCGGTGCGCAGGACGTGGTAGTTGGCGCCCTGCACGGGCCAGTTGAAGTGCGAGAGGCCGAACTGGTCGTTGCGGACAGCGCTGTAGGGCACGCAGAAGGAGGTCCAGTGCGGCAAACGCCGCTGCAGCAGGTGGCGCGTCAGCACCTCCGAGGCGCGGGGCTTCGGGCGGGAGGCGGCGCCCAAGGCCCAGGGCCGGCACAGCAGCAGCCAGAGCACGGCCTCATGGGCCCTCCGCAGGGCCTCCATAACCGGCTTTGCCCGCGTCCCCGCCCCCTGGCCGCCGTAGGGGCGCGCGCCGCTGGGGGCGGGGCCGAAGGAGCGCGAGCGCTCGCTCGCTCCTCGGGCGTGCGGAGGGGACGCCCAATGGGCGCCGCGCGAGTGTGCGAGACCCCCCCCGCCCCCGGGCGCGGCGGCGCGTGCGCACAAAGGTCCCGCGGCGTCCTAGAGAGAGTGGAGCGGGGCGCGTGCGGGCAGTCGGAGGCACTCTCGCTGAGGAGGTAGTGAAAACATGACCGAGCACCTCGTGAACTCATTAATAACCCTGAGGAGGGTTGAGGGCGGGCTTCGCGAGTATTATCAGTTTAGGTAAGAGGAAAATTAAGCTTTAAAACAATTAAATAACTTAACCACCCTACTGAGTGGCAAAACTCACACCCGTATCTCTCTTCCAAGCCGCAGGCTCAAGTGCAACCTTGATTGGTGGTGTTGAGGAAACCCTTGAGAAGGTGTCCTCAGGGAAGCGAGTTAAAAGTCAAGTCCCCAGATTTGCAGTGGCTGGTAAAGTCGGGGAGCACTTTTGTATTCAGATCCCCGCTGTCGTGTTGTTTAAAATAAGTCCCAGATATTTCAACAGAAAAAGTTTATTTCTTAGGAAGTCCTACGTCTCTCCATGCAGTGTGCACCACCACCTCCTTCCTAAGAGTCTGGTGAACGCCAGACCAGGAGTCTTTTAGTTTTAAACCTTAATAATCCTGTCACTCATTATCAAATCTCGTACTTTAGGAAAACCTTTTCTCAAATTTTGCTGCCTCTTGAGGTAATAACTTACATCTGCTTTCTAAAGAAGCATTTCCTCTTACATGTCCTAAATTCACGTTTGGAGAAACGATACATAAATAAGATGTGTTTGGAAAGCACTGTATGTAAATGAGACACGTGTAAACACCATATAACAGTTGCTATTATTGTTGCTGGAGACTCATGTAGGGTATGAGTAGGATAGTGTAGGAGAATGTAGGATAGTGTAGCTAGCTCTTACATTCTCCAGTTTTTATTGATTCCTACAACAAGCAATGATTGAGCACCCATAACCATGTGCCAAATCTTGTAGGGTTAAGTCATTTCAGGAGCCTTGTAGTCATGCAAATAATTTAAACTTTATAGGATTCCCTATTAAATTTTGAAAGATTTTAGGGGGAAGCACGATGTAGTTAGATTTGCGGAGAAATGGCTGAAGGGAGGCTAAGACGAGTCAGGGAGGTGATTCAATACTGTGATTTCAAATTAAATTTTTAAAAGCACTGGAGTCCTTTTTCACACAAAATCTGTCATAGAACCCCAACCTATGAAAACTTGTGTTTTATTACTAAACATTTATAAGTGCAGAAATTTAACATTAAAGTTAAGTTTTTAAATGAGTCTAGTTTGTTGTTGTCTTGGGTTTTTATTTTGCTTGTTTTGTTTTTAGCAGAAAAGGAATTTATTGGAAGGAAATTGGATAGCTAAAATAATAAATAGGACGTCTGCAGAACCAAGCTTAGCAATGGGAAGGAATCAAGAGAGACTGGCCGGCAAAGACGTAGGTAAGACCAACAGGAATTAGCATGGTTGGGATGCCGTGGCTGGCCCCATGCCACTGGACTCTTGACCCTGCGGGATTTTTTTGTTTGCTTGGTTTGGTTTTTCTTTAATCTTTTTTTTTTAAGTTGATTTTTTTTTCTTCATTTTTTGGCTGCGTCAGGTCTTAGTTGCAGCACACGAGATCTTTTTGTTGCGGCACGTGGGCTTCTCTCTAGTTATGGCCGTGTGGGTTTTCTCTTTCTGGTTGAGGCGCGTGGGCTCCAGAGCGCAGGGGCTCTGTAGTTTGCAGCCCACGGGCTCTCTCATTGAGGCATGCGAGCTCAGTAGTTGTGGCGTGCGGTATTAGTTGCCCCTGCGGCATGTGGGATCTTAGTTCCCCGACCAGGGATCAAACCCATGTCCCCTGCATTGGAAGATGGATTCTTTACCACTGGACCACCAGGGACGTCCCGATCCTGCTGTTTCACGCTCAAAAATTTTTGAAGTTGGGGGCTATTGACAACAGTTGCTGCTATAGCAGCCTCAGAACAGTTTATTTCTTATTCCTTTGTTTTGGTTGCATACTATCAAGAAAATCCTGATCCCTTCGGAGAAGTGGATACAGATAAGAGTGGTTTCTAATGATTCATCTTGAAATCTTGGGCATGTGCTTCAGTTAGAGATGGCAGGAGGAGATTAATTCTGAGATCTACACTGAAATGACTTAACCTCAAATTAATGCATGGGCAGTTTGCAATATGTTAAAAAAAATTGACATTATCTCTCCTTTGGCAATATAAAAATCTATTTTTTTAAAAAATGAAATTTGAATCAAACGTGGGGAACCTCTGAATTGTCTGAGAAGCCCTAGGTTCTGTAGCATATAATGTAAAGCTACTGATAAAGAGAAGCAGATGTCTACATAGGTTTCACTGCGTTGTCTCATGAAGGCTTGGGGAAAGGCTGAAGGATTTCTGTTGGAAGACCCTGTCTTGGAAAAACCTCAGCAGTGATGAGGGTTTCTCTAATCCAAGGCTCTTTGATTATCTCTCTTTTCTATTCTAAGGTAGGAAGTTCTTCCAAAGATTTCTGATAGATGTTGGACCACACCCAGGTTTTCAAGAGTGTTTGAATGAAATATTACTCTAACCTAAAGATACAGAGCTGGAGAACATGACATCTAGATATCTCTTCTAACTTTAAGATTTTATGGTACTCCTTCCATAGTTGAAATAAAATAATTTCTCAAAAAACCTACAACTCAGATCAGATGCTTGATTTTTTTTTCAGTTCTAATTCTTCATGGTCATGAAACAAAGGGGCTTAGAAGTTGGCATTCAAAAGCCTGAGTCAGTGTTCAAAAATATTGTGTCCAGTAATTAAGAATTAAATGCATTAAATACACGAATACTTAGTTTTCCACAAAGCATGGAGAAATGGCGTATCCCTTAGAAGGAAGCCCTTAAAAATAGCTATCAATAGTGCTACCGTGTACAGCTTTTAACATGTGCATGGGTGTATCATGCTGCTCCTAGAAAGAAGGGAATTTGTTTTGGTTTTGTTTAAAGGCATCTAGGACCTTGTAGATGTTCAGAACATGTTAAAAATGAGTTCTACAAAGTTGATAGTTCGGAATATATTAAAATTAAAAATTTCTGTTCATTAAAAGGCACTATTAAGAGAGTGAAAATGTAATCCAAAGAGTGGGAGAAATATCTGTAATACATATATCTGACAAAGCATTTGGTATCTAGAACAAATCATTAAAAAAATAATCCAATAGAAAGGTGGACAAAATATTTGAATGGACTCTTCACAAAGGAGAACATCCAGATGTTTAATAATGTGAAAAAGTGCTTCGTTTCACTAATCATATGAGAAATGGGAATTGAAATATATATTACCTTGTATATTACACACCCACTAGAGTGGCTAAATTAGAAAAGATAGAAAGTATTAAGCGTTGGTGAGGATATGCAGCAGTCAGAACTTTTATGCATGGCTGGCAACCACTTTGGAAAATTTTTTGGCAGTTTAAATTAAAGCTGAATACATGCATACCTTATGACCCAGCCATACCACTCATAGGTATATATTTATATTAGTGTGCTCAGGCTGCCATAACAAAATACCACAGACTGCATTTAGCCAACCACAGAAATTTCTTACAGTTCTGGGGACTGGGGTGTCCAAGATCAGGTGCCAGCCAGTTGGGTTCCTGGAGAGAGTTCTCTTCTTGGCTTGTATTTTCTTCTTGCTGTATCCTCCCATGGTAGACAGAGCTAGCTCTGTGGCTGACTCTTTCTTTTCTAATGAGGGCACTAGCCCTATTATGAGTCCCACCTTTAGGACTTCATTTAACCCCTATCACCTCCTCCTGCATGAGGCTCTATCACCAAATACAGTCACTTTGGGTATTAGGGCTTCAGCATATTTTGAGGGGGCACAAACATTCAGTCCTTAGCAATTCCCAACAGAAATTGCGTGCATATGTTTTTCAAAAGACACGTACTAGAATATTCATAGCAGCACTACTCATATTTGTAATACTTAACCAGGAAATTACTCAAATGCCTAGCAGTAGTAGAGCAGATACACAAATTGTGGCATATTCACACAATGGAATACTACAGCAACAAGAAAGAATGCTCTACAGTCACACACAACATGCATGGATCTCACAAACGTGAGAAAGGGTGGAAGAATGCAGACACTAAAGAACTTACTGTACGATTTCATTTACATAAAGTATAGAAACTGGCCTAAACTCATCTATGCTGTTAGAAGGGGGATAGCAATCACTCTTGGAGTGGAGAGGCAGTTACTAGGAGGAGTATGAGGTGACTTCTGGGGGACTGGGATTATTCTCTGTTTTTCAAAACATTCTTTTATTTCTATACTTTTTTTAAAAGCAATTTTTTAAGAGTGGTTTTAGACTCACAGAAAAATTAAGAGGAAGGTACAGATATTTCTCATGAATCCCCTGCCCCACACATGCATAGCCTCCCCCATTATCAGCATCCCCCACCAGAGTGGTACATTTGTTATAATTGATGAACCTATGGATTATTCTCTTTCTTGATCTAGATTCTAGTAAAATGGGTGTATTCAGTTTGTAAAGTACTGAATACAGATGATATGTGCCCTTTCCTGCATGTATATTATACTTCAATAAAAAGTTTGAAAAAAACAATGAGTTCTGCAGGTAATATTACATAATAACACATCCTATTATTCACATTTATTAAGAAATATGTATAGAGAACATATATAGTGGACATGACTGAAACATGACCTTGTACATATATAGCATCTTTTTTCTCATGTTGTTTTGACAACCTTACTGTGAGATCCTGATTTGCTCACATATTTCTAATAGTGTGATTTAAAAGAAAATAGGGTAGGCATGGGGATTTTAATTCACTGCTATTCTCAGGAGAATTAAGGGCAAGATACTAGGTGCATATGTCAGCATGTTGGTAAACGATAAAGGAATTATTTAAAAGGGATAGAAATATTTACACTTAGGATTTCATTTACAATTTCCAGTTTGAAGCTTTAGGATTTTTGGTCCAAGAAGAGGAG